GTTTAGCTGCCACTCCATTTCTTTCCCATTCTTTAAAATGTTTAAGGGTTGCCTATATGTGTTTTTTATTCCTCTTTCTAGTCTTTCTTCAATTCACTTGAATGAGAATTTACCTCTCTAATTCCACTGAAATTATTCTTATTGATGTTATCAATGTCTTCTTTATTTTTCCAGGTTATCAGTTTTATTGGTATGCTTTAGTTCCTTCTAGTTGTTCAGACAAAACCAGACAGCTTACTCTGTTTTCCTCTTTCCTCCTCCTTTCTCCTCCCATTTTTAGTTGTATTACTTCTGTTTTGCCATACGCATGTTTGCACCTTAGTTTCTACCCTCAGATTTGCCTTTCTTTAGTCTTAGATGTCCATGTGTATATTTTAAATTGCTACTTTGGATTTTTCATTGATGTTTTCCCAGTTGTTACCATGGTTGGATGAAGCTACTCTCTAGTAGATTTTTTTCTTTCTCTAGTAGATATTTTGACAGGGGCTCATAGATGATGAGTTCATTAAATTTTCCTATGTTCAAAATTGTTTTTCTGAGGCCTTGTTATCTAAAAGAAAACTTGTCTGCATATAAAAACCTTGGTTCACCTTTTTTTCCGCATTAAACTTTTAAAAAATGCTACTCTGTTGTTTTGCTATCTATGTGGGATTTAAAAATTCTGATAAATTATTCTTTGCCTGTCATTTGTTTATTTTTCTTAGAAGTTTTGAGGTTTACTTTATCTTTGAAATCTAATACCTTTCCTAGGATGTTGAAGTTGATCATTCTGGGTTAATTTTTGCAGAAATGAGTTGACTCTTAATTTATAGATTAAGATCTTTCTCTATTGCAGGAATTTTTTTGGATTATAATTTTAAACATTAGTTCTGTGCTTTGGTTTTGTTTTTTTTCTTCAGGAACTCTGATAATTCATATATTGTTACTTTTTACTGTCTTCTTCCAGTATTTTTTTTTTTGACTTTGTTTATCTCTTTCTTTTTCTCATTTCCTTTTTACCTTTCCTCTATTTTTCATTTTTCTCTTCTTTTCTTGTGTTTAAAGCCTCTTGCAAAATTTACATTTGAGAGCTTTTTAAAATTATTCTTCATTTTAAAGATGAATTTTGTTTTTTCTTATATTTCTTTCCTGAATTTATTAAACCTTTTATTAGCTATTTTTAAATTTTTCTTGTTCAATTCTATTCTTAGTTATTAATTTCTCACTGAGGGTTTTTATTTAAGTTTTCCATATTCTTGAATGCTTGTTTGAACATACTTAATTCTGCTTGGAGTGTTAAAGTTTCTTTTGCTTTAAGCTTTTTTTTTTTTTTTTTGTGGGGGTGGGGATGATTTCCTTTTGTTGATATTGTTGTTTTCTGATTTTATGTAAAGTATTTGTGAATATTTTCTTGTTTGTTTTTATGGTAGTGAAATGCTTTAAGAGATCTGTAACTTAATGGAGCCCTCTTTTTTTCAGGATAGCAACGTTCAGATTCTCTAGTAGGTATTTTGCTTTGGTTTTTGTGGGCGGAGGAGATGTGAGTGCTCTGACGTTCTGCCTTTTTTACTCTTGCAGCACACTTAATTCCCCCCGTAACTTTTTTTCCTTCACAACTCAGTTGGCAGAGGTGCTTCTTCCTTTTCCCCAGGATACCCTCAGAAGCTATCCACATATGTTTGGATAGTGCCTCTCCAAATCACACCTGTGTGCTTATGCCTGAGCCCTGCGGTCCGTGTCTGATCTGTCTGTCTGCTTATCTGCTATTCTCAGACTCATCTTGGACTTTAGCTTGGCACTGCTTTTGGATGGACCCTAGACTTCTTTGCTAATTACCTCTGACCTCCTTGGGCCCTGTAGAATTTTTTTGATCTGCTTTTGCTAACTTACCACCAAGCCTTATGGTGGACTACAGTGGGGGCCAGTGAGGCCTCAGGTTGGCAGTCCTCAGCGTTAGTGATTTCTTTCCTTTTCCTTACAGATATTTTGAAGTTTAGGTTATCCTCCATCTTCAAGTTAAGCTGAGAGCATGGTTTTCATACAGGTTTATTTTCCCCATCTTGTTTTTTACTGTTTTTAGAGGAGCTATTGGGAGATGTATAGCTAGGCCATCCCAAATGTCTTAAGCTACTTAGAAGTTTTGATAGCAAAATTTTTAACCTTAACACAACAGTACCCTCCTTTTTTTTTTTTTAAATTGAGGTGAAATTCATAAACATAAAATTAGCCATAACCTATTTTAAAGTGTACAATCCAGTGGCATTTAGTATATTCTCTGTGTTCTGAGACTGGTTCAAGACATTTTTATCAGTCCAAAGGGAGCCAGTAAGCAGCCACTGTCTATTCATTACCTCCCCTGAAATCCTGGCATCCACTCCTCTGCTTGCTGTTTGTATGAATGTACCCATTCTGAATGTTTCATATAAATGGAATACTATAATGTGTGGACTTTTGAATCTGGCTTCTTTCACTTACCGTAATAATTTTAGGTTCAACCATATTGTGCCATATATGCTACTTCATTCCTTTTTATGCTTGAATAATATTTGATCACTCAGATATGCTACATATTGTTCATTCATTTTTTAGTTAATGGACGTTTGAGTTATTTCTGCTTTTTGGCTATTGTGAATAGGGTTGCTATGAATTTTCATGTATAAATATTTGTTAGAATACCTATTTTCAACTCTTTTGTGTATAAACCTAGGATAGAATTACTGGATCTTGTGATAACTTTATGTTTAACTTTTTGAGGAACTTCCAGACTTTTTCCATAGTAGCTGTACCATTTTATGTTCCCACCTACAATGTATGAAAGTTCTAAATTGTCTACATCCTCAGTAATGCTCTTTAGTTTCCATTTTTAATGCAATCACCTCTCCTTTTCTACGTATATATATTTTTTTTCTAAATATATTTCTTAAGTCTAAGGACAAAACTGATCTTGTGTTACATCAAATTATTTCACAATGAATTTTTTTATGAAGCTTTTCAATTATTAGATCAATTCTTAATGGATACAGTTTTCATTGGCAGTGTTGGCCTTGTCTATGTTGATGGTAGGACAAAATGATAACTTGAGGCAGCCTCATCTGAGAAGAGTTTGTAGTAGATTCTAATTTGCATAAATTGTACTAGATTTGTTATTTATATATTTAAAAAATTCGATTCTGAATATATATTGTAAGATTTTACTTCTTGCTAGATTTTTTTTAAACAAAAACAGCATTTTGCTAAGATCCTTGACATTTGTTGTTGATTTTGTTAATTATTTAAAAAAATCCTGTATTTGCTGTAGTTTTTATTTCATGATAAAAGGACTTTCATCCCATCTTTCTTCATATGATGTGCATTTATTTTGTAGGTACCAAAGACACTGGGGTTATTAAGGATGTTAAGTGTCAAGTTTTACAGTCGCCAGGGACGAGAACAGGTAAGGCAAACTGACTGACGTTGTGCTTCACCAGTATTTTCACTGGAGTGCCTTGAAGATCAAAGTTGAATAAACCTCTGTGCTGTATGTGGAAACTTAAAAAACAAACAAATTAAAAAAATTAAATGAACTTTGTATATTCTAGATTTTCATCTGTGTGTCCATATTTAAACACTCTGTGGGTGTATTCTTTAGTAAGAATTTATAGAGTTGTTTGCTGAAGATTTGTGTATTTTTCTGTGATGCTATATGTTTAAGGAGGGGAGGAGGAGGGTGACGGGGTGTTATCGTGTATGGCACATCTCTTGGGGATGGGACACAACTATAAGAGGAACTTTACCTAACAAATGCAAACAGTGTAACCTAATTCTTTGTACCTTCAATGAACAGCAACAATAAAAAAAAGAAAATTATAGAGAATGTACCTAGTCCTTCTGGGTTCTGGAAATATAGTTTAAAAAATTCTTCTGGAAACATTATAATCTTAGAATTTCTTATTTTATCTTTAAAAATCTCGTGGATATTGTATCCTTGTTCATAATATATCCTTTCTTAGTTTATTTTAAAATAGTAATAAAAAATTCCTCTCCAAATCTGAGAGTATTGATGCTTGAAGAAAAACAAGCCTCCTTGACCCTGGGTTTCAAGTACCGTTGTTTTACTGTTTTCTTACGTAGTAGGAGAAGCATGGATGCATGGCAAGGACGTTGTACAGTTTAGTCCCAAATATAAATGAAACACTTTGGAACTGCCTCTGTGGGAGGTGGTTGCATTTGCCTTCTCTGTGTGGCTTTCATAAGAGTCTTGGCCTGCATGAGGGTATCAAATCATACTCCTATCTTGGGGAAAATCAAATAATCTAATTTTTCTGTTTCTTCAATTTCTTTCCCCATGGAAATTGCTGATATGAGAAGTTAGCCCTCTATATCTGTGGGTTCTGTATTCCCTGAATAATGGATTTTTGACCTACTCTTGTTTGAATCTGAGGATGTGGAACCAGTGGATACAGAGGGCTATGTGTGCTATACTTTTTACTGTTATTTTAGAGTCTGTTCTTTCTACTTATTAAAAAAAAATTAACTGTAAAACAAGCTCAGGCAAGTCCTTCAGGAAGTCTTCCCAAAGAAGGTATTAATGCCACAGGGATGACAACTCCATGCATGTTATTGCCCCTGAAGACCTTCCAGCGGGAAGACAGGTGGAGGTAGAAAGCAGGGATATTTATTATTCTCACCCTGTGTAGGCCTAGGTTAATGTGTATTTGACTTAGTTTTTAGTAAGAAAGTTTAGGCTGGGTGCAGTGGCTTATTCTAGTAATCTTAGCACTCTGGGAGTCCAGGGTGGGTGGGTCTCGCATGAGCTCAGGAGTTGGAGACCAGCCTAAGCAAGAGTGAGACCCCATCTGTACTAAAAATAGAAAAACCAGCCAGGCATTGGGGTAGGAGCCTATAGTTCCAGCTACAGGAGGCTGAGGCAAGAGGATTGCTTGAACCCAGGAATTTGAGTTTGGTTATGAGCTATGATGCCATGGCACTCTACTCAGGTTGACAGAGTAAGACTATGTCTCAAAAAAAAAAAAAAAAAAAAAAGAAAAGAAAATGAACAGAGTGTAGTGTCTCCTACCTATGTCCCATACATTTAAGAGGTTGAGGCTGAGAGGCTGAGAGGATTGCTTGAGTTTATGAATTTGAGGCTGCACTGAGCTTGAGCAATAGAGTAAGACTCCATCTTTAAAAAAAAAAAGGTAAAAATTTTTTTTTAAAGTAGAAAAAAATCTTACAAAGGAAGGTTATAAAGAAAGAAATTTCTGTACAGCTATACAGTGTGTTTGTTTTAAGCCAAGTATATTACAAGTGTTAAAAAGTTAAAAAAATTAAAAATGTATGAAGTAAAAAAGTTACAGTAAGATAAGGGTAATTTAGTATTGAAGAAAGAAAAATGTTTTTGATAAATTTATTATTTTAATAGTATTGTAAAATTAGCATAGTTTGAGTGTTCCTGGTTTATCAAGTCTACAGTAGTGTATAGTAATGTCTTAGGGCTTCCCATTCGCTCATCACTCAAGACCAGGTTTCTGTAAGCTCCATTTATAGTGAGTGCTCTATGCAGGCATACCACTTTCTACCTTCTTCTTCTTCTTCTTCTTCTTTTTTTAATTAAATCATAGCTGTGTACATTAATGCAATCATGGGGTACAGTGTGCTGGTTTTATATACTATTTGAAATATTTTCATCAAATTGGTTAATATAGCTTTCACCACATTTTCTTAGTTATTATGTTCACACATTTATATTCTACTCTTAGTACATTTAACATGTACGCTTGTAGAACGCACCATTCGTGTGATCCCACTAATTGCCCTCCCTCTACCCATCCTCCCTTCCTCTCCCTCTCCTCTTCCCCCTTCTTCTTGGGGCATAGTTGGGGTATAGCTTTTAAATTGGTTTCATAGTAGAGCTGAGTACATTGGATGCTTTTTCTTCCATTCTTGAGGTACTTTGTTAAGAAGAACATGTTCCAGCTCCATCCATGTAAACATGAAGGAGGTAAAGTCCCCATCTTTCTTTAGGCTGAATAATATTCCATGGTGTACATATACCACAATTTATTGATCCACTCATGGGTCAGTGGGCACTTGGGCTTCTTCCATGACTTAGAAATTATGGATTGGGCTGCAAAAAGCATGGAAGTGTGGGTGTTTATAAATTGGTTTCATAGTAGGGCTGAGTACATTGGATACTTTTTCTTCCATTCTTGAGATACTTCGCTAAGCATATGTTCTAGCTCCATCCATGTAAACATAAAAGAGGTAAAGAATCCATCTAAAAAGCCCCCATCTTTTTAGGGCTGCATAATATTCCATGGTGGACATATACCACAATTTATTGATCCATTCATGGATCGATGGGCACTTGGGCTTCTTCCATGAGTTGGCCATTATGGATTGGGCTGCACTAAACATTTTGGTGCAAATATCTTTGTTATTTGTTCCATGAGTTGGCCATTATGAATTGGGCTGCACTAAACATTTTGGTGCAAATATCTTTGTTATAAAGTGATTTTTGGTCTTCTGGGTGTATACCTAGTAAAGGAATTGAAGGATCGAATGGCAGATCTATTTTTATAGATCCCTAAGTGATCTCCAAACATCTTTCCAAAAGGACCGTATTAGTTTTCATTCCCACCAGCAGTGTAGACATGTTCCCTTTTCTCCACATCCACGCCAACATCTCTGGTTTTGGGATTTTGTGATGTGGGCTAATCTTACTGGGGTTAGATGATATCTCAAAGTGGTTTTGATTTGCATTTCTCT